CTTGTGGCTGTTACATTCCTTGGTTTTAAACAAACATTCTCAGTATGCCCCATACCCAGTGCAGGGGCACAGAGCTGTGCAGTGGGAGATGGGGGGCTTCAGCTCTGGCCCCCCCAGACTCCCTGCAGGGTAGAGAAGGGGCTAAGTACAGCCAGCATTTGCTGGGGCTGGGGTATTTGCTGCCCAAGGACCAGAGGCCAGGGGAGGAGGAGGGGCTGGGCTGTGGAAGATAGAAGGGCTGAGAAAAAACCCAGGAAGTTACTGCCCACAACCTTTCAATGCAGGGCTCAGAGTGCCCAGGGCTGCCTTGTGTCCCCCAGACCGTGGAGAAGGAGGCGCCGAGGATTGAATTACAGGGAGCGAGTGAGACCAGTTTTTGAAGACACATGAAGTACAGTTCTGACTTCCTCCTTTCCACCCCACACTCCCCTGCGTTGCTTCAAGCCCCACTGCTCAGCCTTCCTCACTACTCCAACACCCCCCATGCCCACAGCTCCACCCTCTGCCTTATCCCACAGGTCAAACAGATTCTGCCTTGCCAGACCAATGGGGGGAAGGGGGGAAGGGTGTGAATGCCTCTGCTGAGGGCTCGCCCCTGAGGATCCCCAGCCCCAGCCCCAGCCCCCAGGAACTGAAATCAAGAGCCTGGGGGAAAAAAACACACCCAAGCTCCACCCAAACCAGCATCTCCGATGGCATTTGAACTAGGCTAGCAGCAAGCGCACTGCTGTAGCTTCCGCATGGGCTTGACACAGCAATAACCCAATCTGGAGGTACAAAGGCCCTGGTAACGGTGATGGCCTCTCTCAGAGAAGTGGCTGTTACTTCCTAGCCAGTGAAGTGGAGACAATCCCTCCTGGTGAGGGCTGCTCCCTGGGGCTCCAACCCCCTTACTTACTGCAGCAGATACTGCCGTCTCCTCCCCCAGGTCGGTGGGTCCCAAGCAGAGTGGACAACTAGCTAGGCACATGGCAGTTACTCTCTGCCTCATCCCCATCTGCTAAGTCACTTGAAGGAAGATAAATGCACATTAAACACATCCGTGCTTTTGGTTCTCCATGGAAGCAGTTGTTGTAGCCGACACAGGAAAGTATTTTATTGCCATGGTTGGGAAGGCAGACCCATGAAGCGATCACTCTAATAGGGCTTGAGTCACGCACTGAAAAGGTTGGCGAACTGCTGCCCTAGGTGCTTCACTGCGGCCACCAGCAGCATCCCCAACTCCATCCAAGCCTACTTCTATAGGCCAGGCCCTGGGAAAGCTCACCCGCTGCCCTGCCCATCTGTGCAGAGACATACTGAGGACACAGGAAAGTCCTCCTGGGATCTGTCCAAGGCTACATCTGAGGTGTGTTAGCTACTACAGTTGGACATTTTTAAATCAGCCAGTCCAGATAATTTGCATCCAAGAATTTTAAAAGCGCTGGCTGAGGAGCTCAATGGACCATTAATGTGGATTTTCAGAAAGTCTTGGAGCACTGGAGAAGTTTCATAAGACTGGAAGAATGCTAATGTGCTAATTTTAAAAAAAGGGTAAACTGGATGACAAGGGTAATTATAGGCACGTGAGCCTGACATCAATTCCGGGGAGGATAATGGAGTGTCAGTTACAGCACTTGATTAGTAACAAGTTAAAGGAGGGTAATGCAATTAATACAAATCAACATAGATTTATGGCAAATGGATCCTGTCAAGCTAACTTTTTTTTTTTTTTCAATGAGATGACAAGTTTGGTTGACAAAGGTATTAGGTTGATGGAATATACTTAGACTTTTGTAAGGCATTTGATTTGGTACTGCATGGCATTTTGATTAAAAAACTAGAATGATATTAAAATTAACAGCATACATTAAATAATTAAAAACTGGCTAACTGATAGGTCTCAAATGTAATTGTAAATGGGGAATTAAACAGGTTTATTTCTAGTGGGGTCCTGCAGGATTGGTTTTTGGTCCTATGCTAATTAACATTTTTATCAGTGTCCAGGAAGAAAACATAACATGAAAATGATGCAAAAATTGGGGGAAACGGTAAATAATGAAGAGGACAGGTCACTGATTTAGAGCAATCTGGATCCTTTGGTAAACCGGGTGCAAACAATATGTTTTTAATAAGGCTAAATTTAAATGTATAGATCTAGGAACCAAGAATGCAGGCCATACTTGTAGGGAAGCAATGACTCTGAAAAAGACTTGTGGGGGTCATGGTGGATAATCAGCTGAAGAGTGTGACGCTGTGGCCAAAAGAGCTGATATAATCCTGGGATGTATAAACAGGGGAATCTCGAGTAGGACTAAAGTTCATTTAACCTCTGTATTTGGCACTGGTGTGACTGCTGCTGGAATAGCGTCCAGTTCCAATGCCCACAATTCATGAAGAATTTTGATCGACTGATGAGAGTTCAGAGAGGAGCCACAAGAATGATTAAAGGATTAGAAAACCTGCCTTATAGTGATAAACAAATGGACTCTGAGTCTAACAAAGAGAAGGTTAGGGGGTAACTTGATTACAGTATAAAAGTACCTACATGGGGAACAAATATTTGACAATGGGCTCTTCAGTCTAGCAGAGAAAGGTCTAACACGGGGTAGGCAACCTATGGCACGCGTGCCAAAGGCGGCACGCAAGCTGATTTTCAGCGGCACTCACACTGCCCGGGTCCTGGCCACCGGTCTGGGGGGCTCCGCATTTTAATGTAATTTTAAATGAAGCTTCTTAAACCTGTCAAAAAACCTTATTTACTTTACATACAACAATAGTTTAGTTATATATTATAGACTTATAGAAAGAGACCTTCTAAAAACATTAAAATGTATTACTGGCATGCGAAACCTTAGAGTGAATAAATGAAGATTCGGCACACCACTTCTGAAAGGTTGCCGACCCCTGAACATGATCCAATGACTGGAAGTTGAAGCTAGACACACTCAGACAGGAAATAAGGCGTACATTTTTGACAGTGAAAGTAATTAACCAGTGGAACAACTGACCGAGGGTGTTGATGGATTCTCCAACACTGACAATTTTTAAAATCAAAATGTGATGTTTTTCTAAAAGATATGCTCTAGGAATGATTTTGGGGCAGTTCTGTGGCCTATTATACAGGAGATTAGAGTAGATGATCACAATGGTCCTTCTGGCCATGGCCTATGACTCTAATAAGGTAAAAGGTGTTGCAGTGGGTCTAGTACTAGGGGAAAGCATGTGATTAGGTAGAGGTTAATTAATTAACATCTTTTATTGGACCAACTTCTGTCGGTGAGAGAGACAAGCTTTCAAGCTCCACAGAGCTCTTCTGAAGGTCTGGGAAACGTACTCAGTGTCACAGCTAAATAGAAGGTGGAACAGATTGTTTAGCATGAGGAGTTAATACACATTTCAAGGGACCATTCAAGATGAACTGGCCTGTTAACATCTCTCCACCCATGGGGGCGGGGGAGGCAGCTGCAGGGGGAGCCAGGGGGCAGTTGTTACTGGGTTAGTTTGTTGTAATGAACCACAAATTCAGTGTCTGTTCAGTCCATGATTTTTAGTGTCTAGCAGAGTTATGCATTTAAGCTCCCAGGCTCGTCTTCTGAAGGTGCAGTGCAGGTTTCCTTTGAGGATGAGGACTGAGAGGTCAGACCCAGAGTGGTCCCTCTGGGAGAAGTGTTCACCCACCGGTGACAGGGTGGTTTTGTCTTTAATCATTTTCTGTGAGAGTTCATATAAGAGCGTCGTGATTGTCTGGCTATGGGACCCTTCATAACTTCTCAGGACAGCTGGGTTGATGCTCACACTGCCCCAACAGGCAGCCCTCTGTGAGATGAGCACATCCAGCAAGTAGAAGCCATTCTTGAGGGAGACCCCTAGTTAAGTGCTTGGCGATTCACTGCAATCCTGAGCAAAACAGCATCTCCAGGGCGAGTGGAGGGCTGAGGGGCTGTGAAATCCAGTGAGACGTGAAGGGAGGACAAAGGTTTCCAGGCTGCCATGCAGGGAGCTGGAGTGCCCCTCCGTGTATGTGAAATCTGTAGCTCTCCCATCAGTGATCTCATGTGCTGCAGCAAGGCCCCATCTTGGGCTTTGATCTCCATAACCTGCACTTTCAGCTAAACATGGTTTATGGACAATGACAAAAAGTCCAGTCACTGCCTGCCTGCAAACCTTCTGCCAGTATACACTAGTCACACAGAAACAGGAGGACACGGATCTGAATCTACTGCACACTCAGATTTACTGGGTGCAGGCCTCAGCGTGACTGCAGAATTTAAACTCCTGCCCCAAAATGCGAGGTGCCTTCTACATCAGGTGAGTGATGGTGCAGATCTGAAGTGGTAAGTGCCAGCCCAAGTCCACAAGGGCACTGCAACTAAGATCATTTACCAACCACCCCCAGACTGTCACCCGCGAATAGTGAGCGCTCCAGATGGGTTTCATTTTTATTTCTTTGAGTTTTATTCCAACTAGAACAGGAGTCTAGCTGTTTTCCAACTGAAATTACAGACCAAGATAAAAGAGGACAATATGGTTTTGAAGCTATTTCTATGAACAGAATGTAGCAGGTTAATGGCCCAGTCCCATTGCTGCTGGGTACACAGGTCAGACGTATACACGGAGGTTACAGATCACAGACATGTACATGTAGCATAAGAACAGCAGAAATGAACGACATTTAGCAACGAGACAAGTCTAACGTTATCCATTAGGACTTGGCTTTTGGGACAGAGCTTTGAGTTTGTTTTGGCCAATTCAAGTGCCAAATAGTTGTATGGACAATTACAGCATTTTTTTGGGCAGCCACAAGACAGCCAGGGTTGCAAATTTGAAAACCTACTTTCTCCGTATGTTAACGTGTAAATTATCAAATGAGCCTGGAAGCCATTTCTAACACAAACACATCACAAAGGCAGTGTCTCCCCAGAGCAGCCCCAAGGCAAGGCCGGAGTTAAGCAGCATGGAAACTGACTCGTAGCAGAAACCCTGTCACCATCCGTAACCTTCACTGAACCTCACAGGTATGTTCAGGCTGTCGGTCCTGAGTCCGTGCAAGGGTTTTCCCACCATGAAGCAGCATGTCCGATTTAAAGCATAGACTTGATTTAAACACCTTTCACTTCGTTTTTCGGATGAGGAAGTACCTTGTTGGAATAGTAAGGCCCTGCCTGCCCCTTTCCACGTACTGTGAGACGGGGCACCTTTGGAGACGGGTCCTGTTCGCCTGGCAACAGGGAAGACACCTCTGCATAATTCTCAATCACCTTTCCTTTGATATGTGTAGCACCCACTCCCCCCCCCAAAGGCAACTGGATGAGCTATCCCTACTGAGATTAATTGGCACCGGCGTGATCTATCAGAACCAGCAATTGGACAGCAATCGCACACTATGGAGCACAGCCAGTATGGCACGTCCCGGCACTGAACTCAGCCCTTCCTGACTGTGGTTCCCTAGTACATCCACTGCTCATGGAGGACCCAGTGCTGGGACAATCCAACTCCTGGTGCCAAGCAGTTAACATAACAAAATATTGGTACCAAAAGAGTTCTATAAAAAGTCACTAATCCCCAAAGCCCCCAGCCACAGTCTACTCCCTTGCCGAGCCCCGGAGATCTCAGCTAACATACAGCTCAGACTAAACAGATTTGGTGGAAAGAAAATTAAAAATAGCTTGCACAGCTACAGAGTTGCAGATCCTTTTTCTAAAACTCCCCTCAGCCTCCAACAGACGGATACAGAAGCAGCAGCTTATTTGCAATGTGGATAGTGGCAGACGAATCCTACTACACTCTAGTTTATTAAGAGCAATTCCAGTCGTTCTGCATTAACTTAGAGAGATTGTTGCCAGGAATCTGTTGGAGCCCAAGGCACATAACTACTGTTTGGGAGCAAAACACCATTTGCCATCAAACCACCAATCCACACTCTGGGCACGATGCCAGGCCCCGCCCATTACACAAAGTCAATTTAAAAAACATGAATAAAATGATGGAAAAGAAAACGATGTAAGTCATTCTGCAATGAGTGACCGAGGCTGGAATTTCAGATACGCAGTATCAATCAACAACATCATGTACATCCTCTCCAGAGGCACAGACAGCTAGATACAACACAGCGAGAGGACCAGCTCGAGAGCCGATCTTCTCCTCATTGATGGCATTTCACATTCAACTTGACAGGTAATGGCTTCTCTCCCCCAGTGAATACAATACTCCTCCGGACGGCCCCGCTCTACTAGGACTCGGTGCTTTGGCATCTCTAGTCTGAAGGACGGCATGCTGCTCTGCTACAGCAGAGTCTCACACCTGTTGCTGAACAGGTGGTTTATAACAGCTGGATCTGCCACAGTTGAGGTATCTCCCAGATCTCGGTCGTTCTTTGCAATCTTCCTTAATACGCGCCTCATAATTTTACCTGTCAAACAAAGAGCTGTGGTGATTCGCCTGTATGTCCAGGGAGTCAAACCAAGACTCAGAGTCGGTTTTCAGGAGGCTCCCACTGAATAAGCCATATTGGGTCATAGCTTTCTTCAAGTCTAGACATGCAGAGACCTGGGCAATCCAAGACCATTCTCAGGACAGCTGGACCCCACCAAAATCTATCGTAATTATCCTAGACTGCTGATCCCCACTGGGAGTACTCCAGTGACTCCCTTCCTCTGGGGCTGCCCAGCCTGCAGACACCAGGAGCTCTGCTGCTTGCTTCCCAAATGGTGTATCTGAGAAGAGTGAACCAGGACTCCTTACCTGAGCGGGTCTTGGGCAGACCAGGTGCATGCTGGATGTAATCAGGGGTTGCTATCGGTCCAATTTTTTCTCTGACTACAAAACAGAGATTTTCAGTATAATTATTAAGATTTCCCAGAGCGCTTTTTAGGGCAAAGTGACTCAGCGAGAGCTGGAACCCAAGTGAGCAGCAAGTGGGACAAACGAGCCCACCAGGGCTGCACTGCGATGACTCCGGTATCTCCGCTGTTGGCAAAGGTGCGGGTGTTTGCAGAATGGGGCCAGGCAGCACAATCGCACTGCTCAGGATTCTGCACCCGGAGACCCGGGGCTGGAGGGGAGGAGAGTGCATGCAGCTCTCCACAAAACACATATGCTCCAGCTGCAGGAGAGATGTTTGACCATTTCTAGTCTCTCTCCATTGCTTCTAGGCCGCACTTAAGGACTTGAAATTAAGACAGCTTTCCCCAGGGTTTGTGCCCATTTCCACATAGCAATGACTGACCCCCCTCAGGGTTCCCCTGGGGCAACAGGCAACCTGGATGCATTTTGTTTACTGCTTTGTTCACGGACCACAGTCATCTCAGATGTCAATGGAGGTTGTGTCAGTTTAGCTGGACTCCCACACGCCTCACACCACACCCATCTATAACTGCTCTGGGACGGCGCGCTGGATTCACCACCAGCTTACACCAGCTCTTCCAGTCTCCCATCCCGCTTGGTGCCACGTATGTAGTTTTACAGCAGCAAATGACGAGCCAGGAGAGGAATGCAAAGAGGCTCCCATGGGGCCTCTGCACGCCCATCACTGTCACTATCACGGTCTTCACGCCCATCCGCTAGCAGCATGGATGGGCTTTGGAAGGGACGCCCTGAGGCGGACGTGAGACCTGGACTGACATTCCCTCCCTTTCTAGGAAAACCAAGTCCACAGACATTGACCAAAACATTTTGGTTTCAGTTAAAAGGCAGCAGCAAGCACAGCAACCCATACGGTCCATGCACCAGCACAGATCACAACTACAGGAACCACGCATGCAGCAGCACCCACGCCTGCCTCCAACACACACTCAGCGAACGGAGCTGGGGAACGAGGAGTCTGGGCGCGTGCCAGCACAACGGCCCCTCATGCCGCTGCCAGCTCACAGGAGGCAGGGGGTGTCACATGAGCAGCCACAACATTGGGAGATCTGATTTTAGCCTCTGCTAGCCCTGGGACTCGACCCTTTTCCTTGATGTTGCTTTGCTACCCAGGCTGCAGGGGCACAAGGGGCTCAGATGGGAGCTGGCCATAGCCCTGGCAGGGCACTGGTGTTCTCTAGGCGAGAGGCACCTTCCTTCGGCGTGGCCACGCTGCTTAACTCCCCAGCAGGCACGTCAGCCCCTGCAGAGCCTTCGCCACGTCCAGCAGAGCCCTTCCCTCTTCTCTGGCGACAGGGGGCACCTACCACAACACACTCTACACGAAAAACGCCGACAGCTCTGCCACCGTTACCTTGTTTTCTCAGCTCGTCCATCAGGGCCGTGGTGAATTTTTGGCCATCCCTCAAGGTCACAAAGCAGTAGAGGCACTCGCCTTTCACTGGGTGGGGGTGACTCACCACCGCAGCCTCAGAAACGGAGGAGTGCTCCACCAGGGCAGACTCCACCTCCGCGGTGCTCAGCAGGTGGCCTGGAAAGAAAGAGGCAGTGCTCTGCTGAGTCCAGCAGTGTCTGGCTCCCTTGCTCCAGGAGGGCCCTGGGAGCGAACAGGGCCCCTAAGCTCCGGTTGGGTGGTCTATTTGCATGCACTACAACGGACTCTTGGGAGATTCTGCTCAGAGCCTTAGGGCAGCCCCCACCTCGTTCTGGGGAGACCTTGTGCCATGTGCCCCACCCCTGGATACTTGACAAACAGCAGGAGCTTTGTGTGAACAAAGGGAGAAGCCCAGGAAGCTACATTCTGTCCAGAACACGTGTCTCTGAGCAGGCCCTTCCATGGCTGGGCAAGCTGCCACCAACCACTGGGTGCTGATAACACCTAGCTATCCCACTGGCATTTAATGACACACCGAGCAGAGCTACCCATTAGTTACGGGCTGTCACAGAACTGTCACTGTATCACACTAACGCCCCTGGTACTAGAGAAGCTGCATTCCTACCATACCCCAGCCAAAGGCAGAGGGAGCAGGTAACCAAGAGGCCACCTCTGTCAGTTACTATCTAACCGATAGATCCTATCAAAGTACCCTGACATCTTTTTTTAAAAATGAGATTACAAGTTGTGTGATAAAAATAATAGTGTTGACGTAATAGACTTAGACTTCTGTAAGGCATCTGACTTGGTACCGCACGACATTTTAATTGAAAAACTATAAAGATTTAAAATAAACCTGGCACACATTAAATGGATTAAAAGCTGGCTAACAGATAGGTCTGAAAATGTCATTGTAATCATTATTGAAAGGGTGGGTTTCTAGTGGGATCCTGCTGAGATTTGTTCTGGGCCCTACGTTATTTAACATTTCTATCAACGACTTGGAAGAAAACAAAATTGTCACTGAAAAAGTTCACAGATGACACACAAACTGGAGGAGGGGTTAATAATGAAGAGGACAGGTCACTGATTCAGAGTAATCTGGATTGCTTGGTAAACTGGGTGCCAGCAAACAACGTGAGTTTAAATATGGCTACATGTAAATGCATACATCTAGATGCAAAGAACGTCGGCCACACTTACAGGATGGGGGAATCTATTCTGGGAAGCAGTGACTCTGAAAAAGATTTGCGGGCTGTGGTGGATAATCAGCTGAACATGAGCTTCCAATGTGACGCTGTGGCCAAAAGGGCTAATGCAATCCTGGGATGCACAAACAGGGGAAGCTCGAGCAGGAGTAGAGAGGTTATTTTGCCTCCTGTATTTGGCACTGGTGCAAACTGGTGCTGGAATCCTGTGTTCAGTTCTGGTGTCCACAATTCAAGATGGATGATGATAAATTGGAGATGGTTCAGAGAGGAGCCATGAGAATGAGTAAAGGGTTAGAAAACCTGCTTTATAGTGATCGACTCAAAGAGCTCAACCGATTTAGCTTCACAAAGAAGGTTAAAGGGTGACTTGATCACAGTCTACAAGTACTTACATGGGGAACCAATATTTAATAACGGGCTCTTCAGTCTAGCAAAGGAAGGTCTAACAAGATCCAATGACTGGGAGCTGAAGCTAGACACATTCAGGCATAAGTGTTTAACGGGGAGGGGAATTAACCAATGGAACAACTTACCAAGGGCCCTGGTGGACTCTCCATCACTGGCAATTTCCAGATCAAGATGGGCTGTTTTTCTAAAAGCTCTGCTCTAGGCATTATTGTGAGGCAGGTCTCTGGCCTGTGTTACGCAGGAGACCAGACTGGATGATCACAATGGGCCCTTCTGGCCATGGACTCTATGATTCTATGTAACAACCTGCTATGTCATGGAGCAGTAACGCACCTCGGTCTGCTCAGACCTTACCCAGAGTACGATAACCAGCACTGGGAACTGCCTTATGAGAGATGAGGGAAAAAACTGAGGGAGCTGGGGGGGGTGGGATGGGATTGTGTTTCAGAAAGGTTTAGAAGAATGTCTCTAGCTCGACCAAACGATAGAGGAGTGAGAGAGAGAGAGAGAGAGAACCAGCAACCAGGATCCGAGGGCTCGGCATGCCAGCAAGGGAGGGGTTATTCAACCTGATACACTGAATGAGGAGCAATGGGATAGAAGGAATTAGAGACATTGGCTGAACCTTTCAGACTGCATGATCACCAGCCCTGTGGAATCGTCTCCCTGGCAGTATGGGGGCACCATGCCTGGAGACAAGATAAAGCACCAGAGAACAGCTGGGAACAGCCTGCCCTGGCTCTGGGAACAGGGGCTAATTTCACCAGGAGCTTCCCCCTTCCCCAAATGTCTACAAGTCAGATTAACAATGTTATTTACATGGTGCCTTTAATCCACTAGCAGGGAGCAGTAACCATGGTAATTCGCCTCACCGAGCTCGTAGAGCATTCCCTGCTGGAGCAGTACTCACACTCCTCCAAAGGCAGGCAGGCAGGCAAGGCCCTGCCACGAGGTCAGTCCCGCTGGGTTCAGTGGAAGTGCTCCTGTAAGTGACGCCTCCAGACACCCGGCAGGCATGACAGTCTCTCAAGTTATGACTCCGGTTTGTATCATGGGCTGAACACACGTCTGACCCTGCTTATTATTGTCCTGTATTGCAGCCAGCACCCTGTTTAGGAAAGGCGCGTGACGCCTCCCGGAAGGAATATCGCTGAGAAGATGGCAATTGAGGGCCACTAACTCCAACTGTCTCAATTACCAGCCCCTCCCCATGCAGCAATGGATCTTCTGCACAGGGACTTGCAGGGTGGGGCGAGTATGCCTGGGGGAGGGGGTTGGGGTGTCCCAGTGGAGCACCTGCAAAAGGGACAGGAACTCTAAGAGCAGAGGTGCTGCTCTGAGTGGGGAGCCAACCGCTGCCACATGTATGAAGGTCCGGTAGGAGAGAGAGAGCAGACAGGACATGACGTAGCTGGAAATTCTGACAAACCTCACCCTGAGTGCAAGATCAGACTGTGGAGGGGGTGTTTCAGGACTTTTGTTATTTTTGGCTCTCGAGCTGTTTAAGAGTAAAGTCACTGTGGGTAAGAAATTCCTTTGCTAAGCCTGTGGTCCTTGCTTTTATGCTGCATTGTCCATGAAAGAGTTAAACTAGAAGCCCAGCATGCTCACAGCCTAGATGGAACTCTAGGGGAGCACATGTAAGCGACAGGGGAGCTCGGGATGTTTCATCCACCAGATTCCGGATCTGGGTGGTTGGATGAAGGTGTGTCCCAGGTCCTCAGACAAGAGTGCGCCGTAGGGTCCAAGAGCTTGAAACTGTGACTAGTCTCTACACAGACGCAGCTGGTTTGGAAACGTGGGGCCCAGCAAGTGGCTCCACTCACAGGCTGGTGACAGCATAGAGGGACAATGGGCCAGGCTGCAACAGCTAGTGCTTGAGTAAGCCCCATGCATGGCTGGCTACAGACAGTTTACTGGCTGTGTGCTTCCCTTCTCAGTAGCTTCAGCTGAGACTATCCAGTTGTGGCCAGAGGCTGTGCAAACAGCCACTGGTGTGGGAGTGCCTCATGCTGGGCAAGGCAGAACTTGCTGCCGGGGGCTGGGAGCGAGGGGGGATTCCCTCTCCCACTGCTTTGTAAAGGTTAGCTGGAATTTTTAACCTGCACTTTTAAAATACGTGCCTCCTCTCTCCACCACAGCCAAAAGGTTTGTTCTCACCAGAGACGTTCAGCATATCGTCGATGCGCCCCGTGATCCAGTAATAGCCGTCCTTATCTCTCTTGCAGCCTACAAAGAACCAGTCACCAGCATGAGGACACAGTGGCAGAACTCAATGCATCTGACAAAGGAGTCGGGGAATGGAATGCAGTGAGATCCCAGGGGCTCTCCCATGCCATGAGCTGCTAATCCCCAGCTAGCGGAACAGCCCACCAACCCTCCCGCTAAGAAAGCGGGGACACTGAGGAGGCCACACAAGCTGCCAGTCCCTGGGATAAGGCTGCTGCCTGAAGTCTTACCATCTCCTGTCACGTAGTACCCTGGGAACTTCTTGAAGTAGGTGGTCTCAAATCGCTGGTGGTTCCTGTACACTGTGCGCATTATTCCAGGCCAGGGCTGCTTAAATACCTGTGGGAGAGGATATTGAGATGTGGCATTAGAATCATGGAGCCCCTCCGGTACACAGCCTTACAGCAGCACGAGTTCTTGGCCTAAGTTGTAGGTCATGGTCTCTAATGGGCTCTTACTTACACAGCCAGAGAAAGACAGAGGAGTCTAGCCAGCAGATAGCCATGTCTGTCTCCTGCATTACTCCTGGGCCTATTCACTAGCTCAGCCCCATACTACCCCGTGTCCGATCTCTGATTACAGCTGCCGAGAGCAGGATACTACAGCGTATTAACCAAAGTCTCTCAGCGCCCAACACACAAAGGGCAATATGCTGCTTCTACCTTCACATCCCCACAATTGTATAGCCATTAATTACAGGGTATGAAGTGTGTTTTGCCTCTTGCAGAGAAACCGTAGATTCCAAGTCCAGAAGGGACGACTGTGATAGTCTAGTCCGACTTCTAGAACAGTGGTTTCAACCAGAGGTCCAGGGCCCCTTGGGGGGCTGTGAGCAGGTTTCAGGAGGTCCACCAAGCAGGACCGGCATTAGACTTGCTGCGGCCCAGGGTAGAAAGGCAAAGCCCCGCTGCATGGCGCTCAAGCCCGGGGCCTGCCGCATGGGGCTCAAGCCGAAGCCTGAGCAACTTAGCTTCACAGGGCCACCTGTGGCATGGGGCCTCATGCAGTTGCCCTACTTGCTAGCCCTAATTCTGGCCCTAGCTTTTATATGCAGAAAAACAATTGTTGTGGCACACGTGGGCTATGGAATGTTGTGGGGGGGGGGGCTCAGAAAGAAAAAGGTTGAGAACCCCTGTTCTAGAACACGGGCCCCCCAATAACTCCCAAGCCATACCTGTTAGAAAAACAGCCTACCTTGAGTTAAAATTGTCAGTGATGGAGAATCCACCGTGACACTCGGTAAAAGAGTTAATCGTACAGGGAAGAGCTGCTCCCCCATTGTGACAGACATAAGTAAGATCTCCCACGGGGCAGCCAATATTAGAGAGGTAGGATGCCGCCCTATCAACATCCCGGATTCCCAAACAGTTGCAATCACTGACTTCACCCCGAGCATCGGCTCATGCTGCAGAGAGCTGACAGCTGGGAAAGCCCCAGGTCCCCTTGCTCCTGATGGCTCACTCTACCGCAAACTTCCTAAAGAGGGGAGGATCTCGCTAAATAGCCTTTAACCCCCACTCCGCAACACTTTCGTCAATTATACAATAGCTCTGATGACAATCTACAGGGCTCCTACGCTGGCGGTTAGAGTCCAACGTCATTTCTAATGGCACAAGAGCGTCTTGCAGCACAGATGTGAAAGGTGTAACTAGATATGCTTGTGAGGGGATAACCTCACACCAGTTCAGGCCCCTGGCTTGGAACCAACACGCATGTGACTCCTGCTCCCCAGTGGGAACCAGCCAGTCACTCGGTGAGCCCCAGCTTCCCCGCGGCCCTGGTGTAACTGTGACAGGGCTTGGTCTGAGCCCAGCATCAGCTGTTCTTTACCAGGTAGCCTTCTGCTTCTCCCTCCAGCTCCTCCCCGGATTCATCCAGGATAGCAGGGACGACACCAAAGAACGGAAACGTCTGCAGGAGATGTTCATGGAAAGAGAAAGTTGAACAGCACAAATTAAAGTCCCTTAAAACAGACAAAGGAAGCGCAGAGTGAGCCTGGCTTTGGGGAGGGATTCAGTCCCTGAGTGTCTGCCAGTAACCATGCAGATGGAGCAGCATGTCTCTCGCTAGGCTCCATAATGGCCATACATCCCCAGGGAATTCACACCTGCTCAAGCCTGGCTCAACCCCTTCCAGCCAGTGCTCATGCTGCCCAGGCTTTGGGGAGGGAGAGTTCCCCCCACAGATTATCTAGGGAGTTCAGTATCACGCCTGCGCTGGGCAACGTAGCAAACCAGGTAGTTACGCTCACAGAGGGCCCTGTCGGCGCAAATGGGGCCTTACAGGTGTCACTGAGCCCAGGCCCCATCCCTGAGTCACTGCCCCGGAAAAATCCCAGCAGCAGGAGAGCACAGAACAGAGCACGCCAGCCACAGGGCACTCGAATGGTTTCTACTCACCGCAGAGCCCGGCTTCATGGGTGTGGCAGCGGGGAGCGGCGTCAGCACATGGCCACCCTGCGGGAGGAAGCAACGGAGATCAGCCATTCACACTGCCTGACCCCTCACACACGGACACTGCCCGGCCCTGGAATGTGCTCAGATGCTGGCCAGCAGCTCGGAGCATGGCGGGAGGAGGGACTGATGCACAGGCAGGATGTGTGGCAGGGAGCAATGCACTGGGGCAGCTTGGCAGGAGACAAGAAACAGAGGGAGGAGTGCGGGGGCACAGTGACTTATGGGCTGAGGAGAGGCAGGTGGGAAGCCTGGAGAGCAGTGACAGCAGCAGCCAGTTGGACACAATAGGAGCAGGAGGCCAGAGAGCTCGGTCTCCTACCCCAGCCAGCCCCTGGCAGTGCCCCGTCTGAGAGGCAGGCCCCGTACTGCCTTGTAATCAGAGATGCACCGGGCAGGGGGGTAACAGGAAGAAGCTCCCCACTCACCCCTAGCCTCCATGGGAGCATGTGTGGCTGTGACGCTCCCTGAGCTCCCGGGAAGGTTAGACCCTACTGTGTGGACACGACACTGCAGCAAGCCCGCAGAGCAGTCTGGCACCTCACAGGGACCGAAGGGGGGCAGCGCCTGGCACCCGTAGAGGTTACAGAACTCCCAGGGCTCCCTGCTCTCTCCCGGGGGTCTGGGGGAGTCTGAGGAGAGCTGGCAGGGAGGAACTCACAGTCTCTGTCTGCCAGAAGGTATCCACGATGGGACACCTCTCTTCTCCAACCACCCGATAGTACCACAGCCAGGCTTCGGGGTTGATGGGCTCCCCGACCGTCCCCAGCACTTTCAAGGATTTCCTGCTGTACCTGCAGTGAGAAGCAGCGGGTTTCACACATGCGCACGCGCTCTCTAGCCTGGACCAGGCCACAGGGAGACTGGCTCGTAGCTCTGTTTGTGAGCTTGCCCAACCCAGACAGCCAACTTCGGCATAGGGGACCTCGCCGACCATCCAGTTTGGGTTTTCAAGAAGCTCCTCCAGGACCCAGCATGTGCGGAGCGGGGAAGTACACAGAGCAGCAGCAGAGCCGGCCCCACACAGACACTCCCTAGCAGTCAGGGCAGCTCAGATAGTAAGGACCAGAATCCTTGCAGACTACGAGCTCAGGGCAACTTCTGTTCCCATCTCCCTTCTCAGTCCCTCCACAGTGTCTGGGAACATTAGGCTGGTGGTGGAGATGGAACACCCCCAATGCAGGAGCTCTCTGTGCCCAGCACACACCCCTGCAGTCCCGCTCCAAGGCTGGTGGGAGTTGTCCTGCCACGCAATCTGGCCATAGCCCAGAACTCTGACATCAGAACATGAGGTGGGTGTTTCAGACTCTGCTAAGACCAACCCGGGGCAGCGCTGAGAAGTGACATGGGATAAAGCGGCTCACCATAACCCACTGCCCAGGGCTCAGAAACGCAACCTCCAGATTCCTGGTGCCCACTTACAGGCATCGTAATGGGAAGGTTCCCCCATTTGTGCAGGCCAGACACAGCACAGACTCATTGACTCAGGCTTTAGAGCCAGACATGATCACCTAGTCTGACTCCTGCACATTGCAGGCCACGGAACCTCACCCACCCCCTCCTGTAACAGACCCCTAACCTCTGGCTGAGTTACTGACATCCTCAAATCATGGTTTAAAGACTTCAAGTTACAGAGTACCCACCATTTACACTAGTTTAAACCTGCTAGTGACCCAGGCCCCATGCTGCAGAGGAAGGCGAAAAACCACCAGGGTCTCTGCCAATCTGACCTGGGGAAAAGTCCTTCACAACCCCAAATATGGCGATCAGATAGACCCAGTAGCCAGACACCTGGGAAAGAATTCTCTGCAGTAACTCAGAGCCCTCCCCATCTAGTGTCCCATCACTGGCCATTGGGGATATTTGCTGCTTGCAGTCGCAGATCGGCTACATGCCATCACAAGCAGTCTCATCAGAGCATCCCCTCCATATGCTTATCAAGCTCAGTCTTGAAACAAGTTAGGTGTTTGCCCCCACGGCTCCCCTTGGAAGGCTGTTCCAGAACGTCACTTCTCCGATGGTTAGAAACCTTCGTCTAAAGAAAATGCTCCAGACAGCTGCTGTTGGGGATCCACAACCCATCTGCTCAGGGAGGGGCGGGAGCTCTCAGGCAACTAGTCCCAAGCCAGTCCTGTGCTCCGGGGTCCTACTGCCTTGTGCCCACGGAGCTATCGGGGTCCCTCCCCCGGTGGGGAGCTGTGCTTACTTTTTGACGGGCTCATCGCCGTACTTCATGAGCAGTCGGATGGCTGTGGGCGCAGTGTAGAACTTGGTCACCTGGTATTTGTCAATGATGCTCCACATGCGGCTGACGTCTGGATAGATGGGCAGACCTTCAAACTGAGCGTGAGACACCACGGTCAGCACAGCCACTGCCCAGCCCTTGTGACGGGCCCTGGGGAGAGCCTGGCACCCTGCCCTGGAGCTCAGGCAGCTGAGACTGAGCACAGCAGGGCCCACGGGATGCTGGGAGCCCACCTCGCTCCAGGCAGACCAGGCATTAGGCCTAGGGCTGCCTGAACAGAGCAGAGCCTCTGTGCCACCGAGAGAGGCAGGGACCAGGTCTCCTCCACGCTCCGGGCTGGGAGCCTCTCCTGAGCTGAGCACAGCCGCGCTTGGGGGCATGAAGGAACAAGAGCAGGCCAGAGGCAGGGATCTAAGCTACCCTGGCCCCCCCACCAGCCAGTGCGCCAATGGCTCCCAAGGTTCAGCAGCTCTGCAGAGGCGAGGGCCCAGAGACTGCTAGTGTATGGCCTTTAGGTTGGGGATTAAGGGCGACTGGCTCTTCATGCCTCCCCTGCTCCTCCCAGTCCCAACCCCCGCCCCACTTTTCCCCACTCCAGGGAGAGCTCCCCCTGCACACTCACAAGGGCTGGCAGGGCTTCCCACCCAGCAGGCACAGCACCCTCTGCTCCACCCCCTGCTGCTTCTGGGCTCCATGGCTTATCAGCGCCAGGTAGGGACACATCTCCCAGGCAAGTGGGGGAGAAGGCCATGTGCGGACTGGCTCCAGCCAGAGGACTGCCAACGTGGCCCCTTCTCACAACAGTCACAGCACAGCGCCTCCTGGATGTGGGTCCTGCAGCTCGCCCCCCAGACAGGCGGATGTGCTGGGGGCTCATGCCGACGTGACAGGGAAAGCCAGCCCCACCATCCCAGGGAACGCAGCTAATACAGGCTATGGGAACAAGGACAGCAGCAAACTTCCGTGTTCCAGAACTGCACTGGGCCCGGAGGGCATAACACACGGCCTGCAGACACTGCCACGCTGCTCGGCATCGCCCCAGAAAGGAAGAAAAAAATTTCTTCCTCCTCCTTTTTCCCCTGAGGAGTCTGGGGTCTGACAAGTCCCTGCCCTGGTTTTGCTGGGGTTCCTGAGGGGGGGGGTTGGGGTTCTGCCAGCCTCTCTCCCAAGTGTCCTTCAGGCACTGGAGATAAATGTGCTAGCAAAGCATCACAGCGGCAAGACAAAACCCCTCCCAACAGCAGCTCTGCTTTCACGCTGTCCCAACACCCTGATTCATTCGCTCTCCCATCCCCGCAGCATCCCCCAGGGCAGACAAGGCCCTAGTTTCTAAGGGCAAACAAAAACCACTTGTTTTCTTACACAAGAATCTCACAAACCAAGCCCTTCCTGCCCTATCACAAAGCAGCGAGAGCAACAGGCACTGGCCTCCTCTGCTGAGCCCTCCAACTCCACTCTGTGAGGCCTGCGTGCCGGGTGCCTCGCCCTCCTCACGGGGCAGCACTCTGCTATTGCAGCCTCCAAGGCGCTGGTCACCGCACAGCATGCGCGCTGACTCCCAGGCTACTTTTCAAATGAGGTAGAGAGAAGAGCGGGTCACAAGGGCAGGGGCTTGTGCTCATTACAGAAACAGACAGATACCAAGGGAGGCTGCTCAGCAGCAGGCTGGTCTCTACCTTCCCGGAGAGGCTCCCAGCCCTCACAGAACTTACCAATACACTGGTTGCCCCATTTGCCAGAGGTCCGTAAGTGAGGTAGGAGTGGCCAGTTATCCATCCGATGTCAGCCGTGCACCAGTAAATGTCCTCAGGATGGTGATCAAACACATACTTAAAGGTAGCAGCTGTAAAAATCATATATCCACCCACCGTATGCACGACACCCTGCAACAAGAACACATGATCAGCAGGGAACGCTTCAAAGGCAAAGCCACCCCCAGCCCTCCCAAGCTGACCAGCACCAGACTGGCAAGTACCAGGAGCAGGACTTCAGTGTCTGAACTGGAAAAGCACAGCTCCATCCCAAAGCTACCACCTCTCCAGCTCAGAGTTCTCGCAAAGTGCAGCAGAAAAAACAGAACCGTAGACTAAGTACTTCATAGAATGCTCCATAACTGAAGTATGAGCATGGTTCATCTCTAACTTCCCCCAGGGGTAAGCCCCTATTACTGGTATCTCTGAGACCTATGGACTAGTTCCTGTTACAGACATCATTTCTGGCCAGGGAAGCAGTATGAGTTAGCCATTGTGAAAGATACCTTGGGTTTCCCAGTTGATCCACTGGTGTAAAGAATGAACAGCTCATCTTCAGCATCGCACCACTCAGGCTCACACTCCTTGCTGGCATTCTTCATAAGCTCATGCCACCAAAGGTCAACATGGGAATTCCATGGAGTCTGAAGAAAAGCGAAAGATGGAGGGGATGATCTCCAAAGGCAGCTAGACTGGGCAAGCGGAACACGCTGTAGCAGAAGGCTAATTAGCTCGGAACAGTGCTGCATGTTCCATGCCCCTGAGCACACCCCTGCCTGCAAAATCATGCTTCAGAACCACAGCCTCCATTAAAACCAGGGATGTTTCCCACCTACAGGGCTACCAAGAAAACCTTTAAAACGCGACCCGAGCGTAACAGGTGCAGCAAACGTTGGCTCAAGTCTGCAAACAACCTGAAACTACAGACGTACCCCCACCCACCACAAGAACTTGGCAGTGCAGTTAGTATTAAAATACCTAGCCCAAGGGATGCTGTGCCAATGGGTATTCATCAAGCCTCCAGGTTTTACTTTATTGGAAGCTGCACAGACGCTCAACTGGTCAAAGAACCAGGGGGCCATGCTGCAGAATTTGGGTCCAGTCTGCTGTGGAGGACACAGGCCTCAAGTGGGAGACAGCAGCAACGTGGCTCAAGCCTTTCCTGGTCATCAGTGCCAAGCTGGGAGAGCTAGTGGCCATTAACCTGACAGCTACTGTTCATGTAACTGAATATCTTCCCTCTAAGGAACGCCATCCCTTCCCAGCTATGCACGGACAAACCTGACACGCTCTCCTATCTTACTGGACAGGCAGCATTGCACTGCCCTGCACGGAGCTGGCCAGTACGCAAGAGAAGGGGCAGGGTTAATAGCCAGCTAGAAAGCCAAGAATAACGTCCCTTTGTTCTTCCACTGCCCATCAAGCCATAGAATCCGACCTGGCAAAGACTTGCCCACCTCCCAAGAGCCTCGCCAGGCTGTTCTCAACACAACACTCTTTGGCACTTTGTTCAGTCTAGTTTTAAGATGCTCAAAGTGATGGGGCTTGCAGCCTTTATGGAAACTTATGTCCCACTCATCACCATCACTTAGTTTAGCTGTACACAGTTTATCTTTTCACCATCCCTGAGGAGTCAATCCCTCCAGCTCCCTCCATCACGGCTGGCTGGGCTCTGAGCCCCCTCCAGTTTGTCAATACGGTTCTGGGAACATGCTGCTCACAAATGAAAGCAGTATTCCAGGGACAGCTGCTCCAGTGCCACATGCACGACTTATCTCCCTCCGCTGGGACATGGGGCCTCCGAGCTGCACCGGGGTCTCCTTCGGCAGCCATTTCACCTTGCACACTCAGCTCTGGTCTCCTGACTACAGCTGGGAGGGAAACCCTTGGCCCATCCTGCAAAGGTTTTCCCATTCTGCCTTGGGATGAAAGCAAAACTGTAGATGTGAGATTGCCCCCTAGTGCCCTCAGTGCAGCCCTGCACAAGTTTCCTTTCTTCAATCCCCAAATAAACTCCACACAGGATTCTCCAGTCCAATCACATCAGCCCTCCTTAGGGTTTGATTTACTAACAAAGTTCAAAACTAAACACAAGAGTTTTCTCTCCAGTCAGGTACAGCCCAAACTCCCCGGGTCTGCTCAGAGTACTTCCTTCCCTAGCAGGCTACTCTCAGCTGTTCTCAGCAGCAGCAATTCTCCAGAGGAAGGGACAGGACTTCTTCAAGGGACGGCAAAGAAGGCTGGGCTGCTGTCTGGTGGGAGGAGGAAGCGGATTCAGCATTGTAGGAACATAGGGTTTCGTAGCAATTCCTACAATGGAGTTAAGGTCTAACTTGCCTGAAGCATGAGGGTTTATATCCATTATGGTTTGGTCTTGTCTAACGTAACTGAAGAGACCCTCATTACCCACCATCTACGAATCCTTTGTTAGAGAGACCAGGTGGGCAAGGTAGTATCTTTTATTGCACCAATAACAGATATTCCCTCATCCACCTTGTGTCTCTAATAGCCTGGGACTGACACGGCTACAACTACACGGCATAATCCTTTGTTGGGATTCAGCTACGTCTGTGTCTTCCATGGTAGCCTGTGGCAGAGAGTTCCACACGTAATTATGAACTAAGAATATTCCTTCTTTTTCAGTGTTAAACTTGTTGCCTATAAAATTCATTGAATGATTCCTTGTTCCTCTATTATGAGAATGGGAGATCCTGTTGCCCAATCTCCCTTCTCTATATTGTCTCTATCACATCCCTTCTTACACATTTCCTCTCTAAATAGTCCTAATCTTTCACACTCTCTTTATATGCCAGTATAGAACTAAGTTTTCCTCGCCCACCTCTGTATCCCCCCCGCCCCATCCCGTCTGCTATATCCTTTTTGAGACAGGATGATCAGAAGCAAAACCAGCATTCTGGGTGAGAGCAGGTCAATTTAAATAATCAATTAATTTATTTCCCAAGACCTATGATTTCTCTCCCCTTTGAGCAAATGCTTTCACGGAGCTGTACACAGAAATGCTTCTGTCTTTCCCTTGAATGATTAGTTAGCTTGGAATCCATCAATGTATTGGAGAAACTCAAATTATTTTAACCCGCAGTATCTTGTACTCATCCTCAGTGGCATTAATATGCTATCATGTACTCTGCCCACACTCCTAGCTTTATCATTAGAGGTCCCTCGGAAGTTCTTCACACACCATTATTTAAGTTAGCGAAGACTACAATCTGAAAGTTTTGCCATTTTACTGTCCCTTGTAGAACGGAACTTCATGGCAACCCACTATTAACTTCTACCAATATTAAAAACTCCCCATTTATTCCTACTCTGTTTCCTGTGTCAGCCAGTTTCTGATCCATGACAGTAGTTTGCCTCTCAGCCCATGACTACTTGGTTTCCTTAATAGCCCTCTTGTGAAAGTCTTGTCAAAGGCATTTTTGAAGCCCAAATAAGTATCAATGGGTTCTCCTTTACCTACCATTTTGCTGACATGTTCAGAGTTCTGTTCTAGGGGCTGAGACAACTAAGGAGGCATATGATAAAAGTCCGTCGAATCACAAATGTGGTGGAGAAAGCAAATAAAGAAATTTCATTTACCCCCTTCACATAACACAAGAACCTGGGGTCACCTGATGAAATTAATAGGCATCAGGTTTAAAAACAAAACAAACAAACAAATGGAAGTACTTCTTCACACAACACACCGTCAACCTGTGGAACTAGTTGCCAGAGAACGTTGTGAAGGCCAAAATTACAATTGTGGTAAAAAAGAACTAGATAAGTGCATGGAGGATAGGTTCATCAATGGCTATTGGCCAAGATGGTCAGAGATGCAACCTCATGCTCTGAGTAACCCTAAGCTTCTAACTGCCAGAAGCTAAGACTGGATGACAGGGGATGGATCACTTGATGATTCCCGTGTTCTCTTTGTTCCCTCTGAAACACCTGGCCCCAGCCACTGGCAGAAGACAGGATACTGGGCTAAATGGATCGTTGGTCTGACCCAGTATGGCTGTTCTTAGTAGATTAGATGCATGACTTTATTTGTCCCTATTATGTTAATCTAGGCATTGTTATAACTAACTTTAATGATTGCTTAGACCGATTTCCTTGATGCTGAAGCAATGTTCATGCAACTGATTTCCTGAGTCACCCACAGTGCCTTTCTGAAAGCAAGGTACGTTTGCTACTCTCAAGAAGATGAGCTGATTTTAATAAGTGACTGCGTATTACTGCTAGTGGGTACGCCACATCGTGAGTTCCTTTAGAACTCCCGGATGTATCATCCAGGCCTGGTGACATGTTGCAATTTAGTAACTAATGTACTTCAACACCTCTGACCCCTCAGTCTGACAGTGGCTCCTATTAACCTAAAGAGTAGGTCTGGAGTAGCTCTCTCCCCAACACCTCTGCATTGACATTCAGGTAACGATATCCATGCAAATAGTCATTTAGCTTCTCTGAATTGCTGCTTTTACTCCCTAGTAGTTCAGCAAACCCACCAGCTCTCCCCAAGCTTCCTGCTTCTGCAATATACATAGAGAATTCCTTCTTGTTTGTGTGTATATCCCTTCGGCTATCCGTTCCTCCAGAGCCCTCTTAGCCCTCCTAGCTTCCCTCTGACACGCCATGGCTCACACTCCTTTCTATTGGCAAATCTTGACTTTATCTTGCTAGTTACGCACACTGTGCTATCCTGGCCAGTCTGCTCCCAGAAGGTGACATAGGCCCTGCGTGACTCCATTATGGCGGTTTACAAAACCATCCTGCAAAGTAGAGTAGAGAGATTTCTGAACATTTCCTCCTTTTTGACTTCAGAGCCTTTTTTAGCCTCTATTTTTCGATACCCCTTCTCTATAGTTGATGTCACTGTGCTAGTTTTTGATAGAATTCCTCCCCTGAGGACGTTGCATTCAATTAGATCGTGCTCAGTATTACTTGTGGGTCAAGCAGTAATTATCGTTGAGCCAACTCCTGTTTGTTCTTCGGACTAAGTCGAGAGTACCCTCTGCTCGTATGTACTCTAGAAATTAGCTAATACAATTCTCTTGGCTTCTGTCCCGCAGCTTGGGACAGGCTCTCTGCTCATTCCCAATGCTACGGCAGGAATTAGCGAGATACAAGAGAACAGAGGGCGACAGTGATGATCTTCAAAACGAAAAGGTGGGATTTTCATAAGGGCCTAAGGGAGGTCAGCACCAAACTCCCATTGATCTGAGCACCTAATTCCCTCAGGCTCCCTCAAGCATCCCAGCCTAAGATCTGGGCAAACCCTCCGTTAATGGAAACAGTAGGCGTGCAGTGTCCACGCCCAGAGTAGCAGCACCTTGCCAGCAGGAACAGGATATCCTGCTGCAGTTCTCCTGGAGCCACCCTGTGCCCCTTCCTGCTCAGCCTCTGTTACCCATCTCAGCACGCTGATAGGGGCCAGCCAGTATATGAGAGAAGTGGTGAACAGCAAGATAGGCCCATTTCCCTGCTGTGTTAATACGGGTGGTAACACAAGGCAAACACCTTATCACCAAAGTGTACACACTATTATAAACTGATAAGAGACTTTATTCCAAGGAGCTGGTGTGAGGGCTGGGCTGGGCGAGCTCCTGCTCGTTCAGACGAGCCTACTGCTTAGCAAGGTCTCCCGCACGACACTGTGCCATGAACAGCTGCACTGCCTAGCCACCTCTTTTACGATGCAGAGTGCTTTCTGAAGAGCCCCCTTCATCCAGATGGAGCCCCACACGCAAGCTCCTTTTTCACGGAAGGCAGGCATTAAAGCTGCAGGCTCCCTGCTGCACAAAACCCCCTCTTACTTACCCGTGTCAATGTCTGTGCGGTTAGAAAAAACATGACATTTGAAAAGGAACATCACTAACGGGTTTAGTGAGGATTAGTAGCCGAGCTCTCCTTACACAGAACAGCAGTTGGAAAGTTAACTTCAATTAGTGCCAACTTCGCTACAAAAAGAGGCTAATTTTAAGACCCGTTTTTAAAGGTAAACAGATTAAACGCCATCCTAATACTGGACACACGGCTCGTACATCTGCCGTGAGCCTGCTGTGTATTGTGCTGCTCTCTCCACACCATCAGGACTTCTGCACTAGCCATTTACGAAGGGGAAAAAAACAGGCAAGGATATTACCAACAAACAAACCCTGACCCACATTACGAGAGTCTCTGATATTTGTTTCTCCATCTACGCCTCTGCACATTCATGCAACTACAGAAGATTTCTAAAACGTTAACACAACAAGGTTAGCATCCCCATCCCATCCCAGGGGAGTGGTCTGCAGACCCCCGGGTGACTAAGGCCAAGGGGGTCAGTGAGTCTACCACTAACATGCAACTGCTGGTAACCCGATTAGGAAGATACACGTGGCCGTGCAGACAGAGAGAGAGAGAGAGAGAGCTGTTAGAGAGGTGGAGCACTGAGAGGGAAGCAAAGGGGAGAGGCGCTGAGAGGAGGAAGCTGCTGCTAGATGTAAATACCTTGGGATGGAATCTCTTTGAGCTCTCAGTCTCTTTTTCCTGTTAAAAATCCACAAAGAGGGTGTGTGAGTTGAGAAGTGGAGGATCCACACTGGGCCTTCGTCCACTTCTGTGCACGCAGGGAGTTTTCCGGGCTAGCGTCAGGATGGCTCAGCAGGCAATACATTCCTATTTTCATGGTGACGGACGCTCAGCCAGGAGGCACTCTCTGAATGAATGCCTGCCCTTCATTTCCACTTCAGTTCTACTCCCTAGAGATTCGCCTCTTCTGCTAAACACTGTGCAGGCCATCACCTCCGAGCGTGCACACAGTCCATTGGGAGTAAACACACAGACCAGTTACGCAGCTATTTAACCCTCACATGGTGTGTTCAGCGCAGGAGCAGCAAGTGCAGGTGGAAGGGGACAGGTATGGACCCAGGACTAAATATCAGCATTTCAGAGAGCGCTTAAATGGATTTACCAGGAGGAGGCGTTAAGTAATGAACAGCACCCCACAGCATCTATCACCCTTCTGGGTCTTGACAAATAGTAACTCAGCCCTAGGTTACACACACACCCTGACAGGCAGGGCCCAGACAATATGTACCCAGTGTGAAGGCAGGCGCCACCACCCCAAGAGAAAAGACAGACTACAGCCTACAGATCAGATGAACGGAAGCAGAATCACTAGGCTGCCGTTAATCTATTTGTTTAAAATGAAGTGTGCCCACTATTTTCCCTGTATTTGGAGCTACCCAGCATGGCTAACAGGCCAGAGTTGCAGCAAAGACCAACATATATGGCCAGATTGTCAGGAAAAAGAGGGGGATACGCTGCCCCCTACAGAACAGTGCTACCATCACATATCACCAGCACGCCTATGCAACCTGGAGCCTGCACATCCATGCATGCAAATACCCCATCTGCTGTGCACACATTTTTTTAAGGGTGCATATGGACTATTACTTTGAAAACATGCCCAAGGAGCGTTCACTAAGCCCTCCCACAGGAGCATGAGATATTGCGTTCCACACTTGGGGGAGCAAGCACACCGTTCAGCAAGCCTCAAACCTGCCATGTATTCCCACTATTTCCACAGTGGTCAATTACCATGACGACATGTCAGAATAGCAGCTCTCCCAACCCATTCCAGTCACACTTGGGACTGTTGGATCTCTACCATAGACGTGACGGACAGCACAGGCATTGACCTATGATACCACCTTGCAAACGGGGCAGAAGGAGCAGCTTCAGGGCACTAACCTGAGCTTTCGCAATCTTGGGTAACTGGCAAGGAGGGATTCCACCTCCACAACTGGGCTGTGGTCTCCTTCCAGCGAGTAGAGGCAGAGATGGGCAGCACGTCTCTTGAAGTGTGCATGTGCACAGCATGACTGCACGCCCCCTCAAGTACTTGGACACCATGGTCAGACCATCTCCCTCCTTTCAGTCTCCTCCACTTCACTGGCTTCCACCCCTGCCTGAAGTGTTCTCCAGGCATCTGGCCCCAAGCCTCTTAGGCACCTTCAGCTGTGCTGGAGAATCGCAGCAAGCCCTCAGGCCCAGCAAGGCCACACTTCACAGAGTTCTCCCACCGCAGAGGGAACAGACAAGACTGCACTCAGGAAACGTGCTAAAAACAGACTGAAATCCCATAGGGCATAAGTGTTGGGTCTGTGCAGGGCGATGCCCAGGGACCTATCCAAAGGTCATACCTACACTTCCCATGGCTGATCCTTCCCCCAGAGAGACAAGCTATCTTCTAGAATGCAATGAAGTCGCTAATCACGTAGAGAATTCCACTCTCCCCACCCTGCCAAGCTGTGCTGCCTTCGGCTCCACATGCAAGGGGGGAGGACACTTGCCTTAGGGTCCCTACAATAATTTAATAGGTTTCTCTCAGATGGGGGAAAGCCCTGCCTTGCAGACTGGTTGCCTCCGAGATAGCTGGACATTTATTGATAAAACAAGACCCTGTGCCTTGCCTCAAGAAGCAAATGTCACGTGCCCAGCAACTGCAGTTGTTTGACCTTTCTAGTCAGCTACTACAATACTGTGCGCTTGGTTTGCCTCCAGGCCACTCAGTGAAAGTTCCCATTTACCCACAGCTTGAGCCACTGCTCAGCTGATACAGCCACCTCTCCCCATGCTGTCGGCAGGGAGATAGAGGCAAGGCTGGGAATCGGACTCAGCTGTCAGGGTTACGGGCACTTTCTGGGAAGATGTGTCATTGGGCCTGGGAGGGGAGATGGCTATTTTCGTTCAGAAGGAAAATTCCTCTGCCAGGAAGAGGAACATGTCTCGTTCTAGCTCCTGGGCTGCTCAGCTCAAGGAATCCTGCACTAACGTGGGTACCCAGCCACTCCTTTTGGGGAGCTGCCAGGGGGGTTAAAGGAAACAGCAGGATGCCAGGAGGGGCTCAATCATTTCATTGGGTGGGGGGTGGTTCTTGAGAGGTCACATTGCACCATAAATCCAAAGGGGAGGGAACAAGCAGCAGGGAAGAGTCTGCACACACAAAAGCCCAGAGAAGCATCACAGTGGTGGTTGTACTGATCGATTTGTTGGGCTCACACCCAGAGCAACGAGGGAATCCCTCCTCCTAGCTTCCTGCGGGAACCCACCTGTACATCCTGGCACAGCCTCTTCAGAGGTGGTGATTTGCTGCATATCCCGTCTGACACCAGCTCCTCCTCCCTTCCCAAGTGCTTGACCACAATGCAGTTTTTCAAAGGGGAGTCTCTGCGAAGGGAAAGGAGGAGTCATTAGCCTGCTCCCGTACAGCCACGGACCCGTTATACAGGCCGCTGCAGAGACAATGAGGCTCTCACTGCACTGGCTGAGCATGTTGGAGCTGCACAGCTCTCCGAGGCCAACATGCTGATTGTATGCGATTATTTACTGCTGAAAGATATCATTCCACCAGTAACAGCAGGTGTTGTTACCCAGGCCTGCTTGCTCCCACAGCCACTGTCTCAAAGAGCTAACTGGCAGAGCAGGGAGGGCACGGAGTCGTACTGGATTCACCTCGTGTCTCCCTCGAACTGAGCACCTGAGCTTCCAGCCTCAACATCTAACTGAAACATAACCGAACAGCAAGGCTACCACAGCAAACAGCTCAGCATTCACCATTACTTCACTGCTGGGGAGAGACCTGCACCTCCATCACTTCTCCCACCACCACTCATCTCCCTTCCCTGTGTCATTGCCAGATCCCTGGACTGTATTTCCTAGCAGCTCAGGGAAGGAGCTTTCCCAGGCAACTGGAAAGGAAGAACTTCAGTCAATTGTCTGGGTTTTTGTTGTTTTTGTTTTGCTTTTTGCCAAACAAACAAAAAAAAACAGTCAGAGGGCAACAGGTGAGATCAGCTTCCATCAATGGCTACTGAGCACACGTTACACACAAGACCAAATAGCCTGCACACCCATAAGGTGCACAAGGTACAATATGCACATTTAGAACAGCAGCTCAAGGTAAAAAGGTGTCTTTGCAGTGTCTTTTAAGTATATATCTGGGCACACATTAGGACCCACCAAGTGGGTTGCTTATTTCCAGACTCTTAATCACTCTCCAAATAGGTATTAGTAGGCTTAGGCCTACACCAAAAAGATGCCTCAGCTGACCAAGGTCCCCTCATTCCAGGCGAACAGGAACTTACTTGTCTTTACATTTCTGCAGGGCCTCGTCTGCGATCTGCTTCAGGTTAATCAGCTTATCACCTCTATAAAAGGCATCTACAAAACAGTAAGTGAATCATTAAACTAGCTCACTAGCCAGGACAGCCTACAAATACTTGAAGGTCATTGCTATTAAGGAGGGGAATGAATGTTCCGGGAGGATGACTGGAAGAGACCAAACAAAATGGGGAAGAGAATATTTGCGCAGGTGTCAGGAAAGGTTGCCTAACAAGATCAGTTGAACTACAGAAGACTCCTCCAAGAGAAGTGGTAAAATCCCCTCCTTGGGAGAGGTTCACATTTAGGCTGACCAAAACACCTGGGAATGTTCTGTAGGGAACAATCCTACACTGTCAGAACGCAGACTGCACGATCTAATAGGCCTTTCCCATTTCTCTGGTTGATTAATAATATAACCAGTGCTACAGAGACCATGGTTGGGCAAAAGGCAGGGGACTAATATGCAAATCTCACAGCACTCCAGATGGACTGACATCTTGCTTTACAAGTTAAGATGTGTAGCAACACATTACTGGACTTCTTCAAAATGCTGCAGTTTACTGGAGGCGTGGGAGGGCACCACATAAATGATGCATCTGGGAAACTGCATCAAGAAGCATCCAATTTATTTCAAAGAGAAAAGCTGACGCACAGCTAGTTTTTGAAAATACACTTGCTATGAAGAGTTGGCAGCAACACAAGCCATTGAGCAAAGTGCACAGGCTGCTTTTAACTCTCCGCTGTTTATCAGGAAAGGGGAAACAGTTACTAAAGCACATGTGCCAGTGGAACGTACCCCAGAACTGGCAATTCTATTCAGAAACAACTCCTTCCTCCACCCCATCTGAACAGAATACCCCATTTGCAGGAATATATTTTTCCTTCATTAATAGTTAATCCAGTTTTAAAAATAACGTATTTCCACAGCTAACGCCGTGGTTACGGACCTGCAAGGTGGAGGGGATTGGGGAATATTTTACCTGCTGTAATGAGGAGAGAACAATTGGAATCGAGAATCCGTTCGCAAAGGGAGTCTGCTGAGAAACCTGCAAACTGAGGACACAATCATTCTCAGCAGCAAAGGATGCTGACATGCTGGGAATTACAGGATTCAAAAAGGCAACAGTGAGCCTCCGAGCACTAACAGATACTGCCAGAGGGCCAGGAGGCGCACTGGACTCCAATGGGCCAGTCAAATACCTGAGGCTCCCTTTGGAGAAGGGCAAGGTGATGGCCCCCTCCAGGCTGCTACCACAGTACAGCTCGTGGAGCAAAGCAAAAAGCTGCTCCACTTTTAAACTCAAGTCTTTTAGCGAGGGCAAGTGGGATAGAAAATGGCACCTTAATTTTAGCTGCCATCCATCTCATAATCACTGCCCAGCTTACCAACTCTTCTCAGCCCTCCGTCACTCTGCCACAGGAAAACTATCTATATCCCAAGCAGCGGCTCTGAATTTAGCATAATTCCCAGCAGTTGCTCCTACCACAATGGAGTGAAGCGCTCCAATCCTGGCACAGGCGAGCATGGCAACAACCAGCTCGATAATCATTGGCATGTAGATAGAAACTCTGTCTCCTTTCTTTATGCCTGTGAAAAAGAAACAGAAGCTATTTCCTATGCGGGCAGGCTGGTGGAACAGCTAAGATTTCAATGACACGAGGCTATCAGAGATCTGTGCCCTGCTGCTCCTAGAGAAAGCATAGGAAACAACCACTACAGGAGACGGGAAATAGGATATAAAACCCCACACTAGCAGAATGTTAATCAACATCACTGCCACATGCAAAGAAGCTCTCAGTTTAAAGCTCAGCTGACAGGAGCCACTGGGTTGAATGTTTAACCTTGTATGCATGCATGTGTTTAATAAGGATGCAAGGCCCCACTGAAGATTTCCAGTGACATTAGCTTGGAGAGTAATGACTTACTGGCATTGTCATCACGATGTATAAAGCCAAAGAACCAAAAGTGCTTACAAAGTTTTATAGTGAAATGGCAACAATATGAATGCCAGCGATTTCCAAGCCATGTATATGCAGATGCACAAGGGTGCACACACACACTTTGCTTTTGTAATCACTGAAGTTCTTGGTAAGGCACCTGGAATGGTTACTGCACCAGGGTGCCACTCTATGCAATGCCCCTTTAAAGAGGTACCAATGCAACCAGCTTCCGGTGCTATCATCAAAACCTCTAGTAAGTTCCTAGCAAGGTGTCAGTTATAACCCAACTAAACACAGTAATGGATTTAATAACAATAATCTCTAGCCCTTGTATAGTGCTTATCAGTAGCTCTCGAGGCACTTTACAAAGGTCAGTATCTTTATCCCCATTTTACAGATGTGGAAATGGGTGTGCAGAATATAGGCCCGTGGCAGAGCTAGGAACCCAGGTCTCCCAGGTCCCAGTCTGGTGCCCTCGCCCCTAAGCAATACCACCTCCCACATCAGAGCAGCATAAAAGTGAGCTAAGTCAGGTACCTTGTTCCCGGAGAACATTGGCAAATTGGCAGACCTTGTGCAACAACTCGCTGTATGAGATCTTCAAGGAATCCCCGGGTTCATTCCCTTCCCTGCAAAAACAGAGATCAAGATTCATTCGGAGAGGATTACAAGGATAAGCAGTAACTGTGTAGCTTCAGCCAGCTCTCAGCACAGCCTATAGTCTCTAATGAGCTGCCTTTCTGAGCAGAAAGGGCCAAAGCCTACCCTTCTTACCTCCAGCCAAACTCGCAATAGCAGTAGGATTTAATCCGGAGTCCCAGCCAAGCTGAAACCCAGCTCCGGGATACGGCAGCATGGATGGAAGCAATCAGAATTCACTGAGCAGCACTGAATTTCCAGTCTCCGAGGGTGGGGAGGGTCACAAACAGTACAGATGGCAAGAGCCAAAGGCACCCCTGCTACAAAGAAACTCAAACGGTGCATCCCTTCATGAGCACACACATTGGAGAACAAAGCCCAGATCTGCAGCACTGCATCTTGCACAGGCCCACCCTAGCTGGACATGCACACATGGATTCCTGGAAACCCAGGCCACCACTGGTGACTCGGCCACAGCCAGGACGGAAACCCCAGGCCACAACAGCTGCAAAATGAAGGAGCAGAGAAGGACAGGGAAGGCTCCCCTCTTTCCCAGTACGTTTACCTGACTGCTGGGGTAACGCGGAGAAGCACCCAAAGACTTTTAAAAAGCTCGCCCACACTGCAGTGCCCTGTCTGTAGTCCCCACTGGGTCTGCATTGACTAACGTGAATGCTCCCTGCCGCAGCCGAGGCACACATTCAGAGGCTCAGAACGTGTCATGATTGGCACCAGACGTGGTGATGGGATGAAAGCCGAGAGCGGTCACTCAGAGAGAGGGGAAGTGCTTGCTGCCATACTGGGCAGGGCAGCAAGACACCACGGGCTTTGTTTTTAATTTGATAACATGCTGCATCCACCCCAGTGAAGTGCACGGGGTGCGGCTCATGGTTAGTCAAAGGGTTAACATGGGGGATGTAAACAATACCAGCCAGCAGACTTCCCACCCCACTGACCGGTGTCAGCGCCAATGGAAAGGACTATACAACCTGGGCCCCTTCCAACGGGACGGCACCCGGCAGTTCTCTACCAGATCCTGCCAGCACACAAGCTTCAGTCATCTTTCCAGAATCATGAGTCTCCGGCTCCTCCTCACCTGCATCCAGGATGGACCCTACATGGCTCCCGACAGCACGACAAGTGCTGCCTCTGGGGAGAAGGCAGAGCCATACCTGCATGTTATCCCCCGCTCAGGGGAGCAGAGCCCTCCCTGGAACTCTCCCCTCTGACAGACACTGCCCAAACCACAATGCTTGCCCGGTCGTGGTGCAGCAAAGAATATTCTAACGTGGGAGCACAGACCCAGAAGTTTAAAGTATCTGAAAATCTACAGCCTACAAAGGTAGCTGCTGAGCCCTACTCAAGCTGCGCTCTGGACACCCATATCTACACATGAAAGGACAGCTGTACCTACATAGGTGTGTGCATATGCATACATGCTGCCAAGGTACTACACCTATGTGCACACAGGTGTGCGACAGGCAACGGATCTGTCAATCAATGGCAACTGAAAATGGATTTCCATCTTGATCACAGGTGCCAGCGTGGCCTCCGGCAAGAAGGAGAGAGTAAAATGAAGGGAGGGAAGTGAACTAATGATTAGCGCAGGAGGCTTGGGCCCTGTCGACAATAGAGACAATTTTCAAACACTTCCCACCATTGCTAAGACCAGTTCAGCTCTGCCGCCATGAGCAATACTGGGAACCCTTGTGTAGTCAGACCCATTTTGAGCGAGGTTAGGTGACAGGAGGTTTAACCATGGCAGCAGATGGCATCCCACTTGCAGTAGAGCTGTCAACATTGCCAACACAGGTGCAGATGAACTAGGCAATCTGAGTGTGGCCCTTGTGTAGTTAGGATTTCAGGGTCAAGAGAGACTCGAGGAACTCTTCAGAGCTGGGGTAAAGCTGATGCACTGGCTTAGACCAGGTAAGGACTTGGCCCCAGAATTCCATCTTGGATCTGCCAGGGAGTTTCTCAGTGACTAAGTTGAATCCAGACCTCTACTGAATGCGACCCTCTCAATGGGAACAGAGAAGGGGAGCTGCTTCTTCCACCTACACTCAAGCAACAGGGCACAAGCTAGACACAGCCCTCAGAAGAGCATTAGCAGAAACATCCAGCAGATGAATCCCACGGGGGCATGTTGCATGAGGAGGGAGCATGTCCAGACCACAGGTGCAGCATGCTAGCTGGGTGCTCAGGCAGGCAGCACAGCATGCTCCAATGCCAGCAGAATTCTGTCCTGGCCAGCAGGGCAGGTTTGCTTTAGCCAATGACACAGCGAGCAGTGTGTCTGCTCCCCTGCCCCAAGCTGTCTGGGGTAAAGTGTGCCACACGCTGCCTATCAGGGAGTATGTACAACAGTCACCCCATAAGGGGCTGGGAGGCTCAGCAAGCGAGTAAAGCCCTAGGATCCTCCCTCAATAGTTACTGAACTTCAGTGCTCACTGGAGTTGTTCCAGGATGGCTTGGCTTCCTGCCTCAAGTGTTACTTGGCTGCATTTAATTCCTGTGCCATTAACATATTATTACATCAGCAGCCCCCTCCACACTCCCTCCCTGGCAACAAACTCCAAAGGAGCCCATTTGTTTCAGGCGAGGGTGGTGTCTGGTGGAGTAAGATGAGCCGATCACTACACCCTGGTGCAGCAGCCAATGAGAACAGATTACACTTACCACCCTGCGCTCTGCGGAGGGTCAGACCAGTGGGGAGACTGCAACCCTGGCAGGCAGCTACAGGGCCGGAATTGGGAAACCGATCCAGAGATGCCAAGGCCAGAAGGGACCATTGGGATCACCTAGCCTGACCTCTCCTGTACAACACAGTCCAGAGACCTTCCCTACAATCATTCCTAGAGCAGACCTGTTAGAAAAACAGCCCATTTCACGATGGAGAATCCACAGCAACCCTTGTTCCAAGGGATAATTACCCTCACTGTTAGGTGCCACAAGTACTCCTGTTCTTTTTCCTCACTGTTAAAATTTTACACCCTGTTTCCAGGCTGAATTTGTCTAGCTTCAACTTCCAGCCAGTGGATTGTGTCAGACCTCTCTCTGCTAGACTGAAGAGCCCAGTATTAAATATCTGTTCCCCATGCAGGTACTTGCAGACTGTAATCAAGTCACCTGTTAACTTTCACTTTGTTAAGCTAAATAGACTGAGCTCTGAATCTATCATAAGATATGCTTTCTAATCCTTTACTCATTCTTGTGGCTCCTCTCTAAACCCCCTCCAATTTATCAACACCTTCTTGAAATGTGGACACTACAATGGGACACAAGATTACAGCAGCAGTCACACAAGTGCTAAATAGAGGTAAAATAACTTCTCTGCTCCTACTTGAGATTCCCCCGTTTATGCAGCGAAGGATTGCAAGTCAAATGCCTTGTAGAAGTCTAAGTATTTTATTTCAACACTAGTACCTTTATTAACCTGTAATCTCATTTAAAAAAGAAAAGAAAAAAAAAGAGGAGATACTTTCCAGGGTGAATTACCCTCACTTTTGCCTCAGAATACCTTGCCTCACTGTACGTATTAGAGTCCCACCCCCACACAAAGCAACTGTAAGGAATGTACAAGTTCCTTTTGCCGTGGGGCCTGTATGTCAAATTGTCACTTTTAATCCCACAGAAAATTCACCCAGCCCCCAGGAGCAGAGCAGCTAGTGGCCACTGATCACACAGAAGCATTTTCCTAAGTGTGTGGATCACTCCGGCTTCCTAAGACACAGCACTTGGACTTGTAATTTTAAAGTTATTTGTCTTCTTAATGAGCACATGGTACAATAGGTGAAACACTGGGGGTGAAGAATAAAGACTGGGCAGGATCAAAGCCTCAACATGCACTTCTGCTTCTTTTGGGGATTTTTTGGGTTTTTTTTTTTTTTTTTAAATCCTTTGATAAGAATTAGCTTCATCTGCTCAGTGTTTAATAGGGTTTCACTTGACTTGAGAATGAGAACCTCAGGCCTTGTGACAGGTTTGAGGTGCAAAATTTAAACATCTAGAATACCTTCCCCATAATGTTAGGGCTGTTAATTTGGTATGGGTCCATCTCTACAGAAAAGGCTGCACAAACACAGTGTGGGAAAACCAGTCAGTGAAATCGAGCAGCTATTTTCATTACTCAGGCTGGGTGAACTTCAAAAATAAGACTGTATAAATGACAAAGAGTAAATTTACAGAGTTCTTACAGTTCAATAGCCTCATGTGTAGGTAGCACAGGCAAGAAATTGCTGAAGTGTGATTTTTCCTAACAGTGTTTTCTTTAAAACTATGAGTCAAGAACCAATTTTCAAAATTATTACAAAGGAGAAACAAAAGCTCCTTGAAATACTTTACTAAATTAAATACATCTATGAAATGCCATTTGGACCTGGCACCAATCCACAGCACAGTTTGAATCCTGGCATTTAACTGTTATTTCATAACTTTATGACACCACAGGGATCACAGCATGAAGAAGATTTAACACTTTCAAGCCCTTGAGAGAGTCATAGCTACGTAACACTGGGCTTCCAATCCTATGGTTTAGGAATTCCCATGCTGCATGTGCATATGTAACCCAATGGTGTGTGTTACAGGGTAGGGTTACCATATTTTGAGTGTCCAAAAAGAGGACACTCCACGGGGCCCCGGCCCCGCCCCGGCCCCGCCCC